GTAAGAAAGCACGCTGAGCAAGGCAGGGGAAGCAAGCCGAGTGAGCAGCTCTCTTCCGTGGCCTCTGTATCAGCCCCTGCCTCCAGGTTCCTGCCCTGCTCTAGTTTCTGTTCTGTCTTCCTCCAGTGATGGTCTATGATCTGGTAAACCCTTTCCTCCCCGACTTCCTTTTCGGCCATGGTGTTTTGTCGCAGCAAGAGAAACCCTAAGACACCTATGCTCCCTGTGTTGTCGGGCCTGCAGACAGACAACACCTAACTCAGCTCTCCTGGGCAGCTACCAGATGAGAATCACCCGTATGCAGTGGCTAGCCCATGGTGAATGTTTGTTAGTGTCTGCTCATTTGTGGTATGACAGCCCTATAACTCAGCTATTTTATTCAGTCAGAAATTACATTAGTAATCAAAGCCATTAAAGGCGGGGAGTACAAGCACAGCACCATCCAGATGGTGGGGAAGTCAGACAGACGAAAGGAATGCGGCTGTGGTCATTGTGTGCGATGCCGGGCTGCAAACGTGGGCCTTGCACCTGGTTGGTTTCCAAATTCTAGTGTGAGTGTGGTTCAGCAGGCTTCCAAAGTCTGGTCCATTCTAACTTCCCTGTGAGTCCAGCAGTGAGGATCAGATGGACAGACACGCTGGGGGCCTGTCGCAGTAGCTCCAGCTGAGCTAGGGAATTTGATGTACATGTTTACTGGGACAAAAGAGGAGAGAGACAGGCAGACCTAATTCTACCATGTGTGAAGCCTTGGGAGCATACGAGTGAAAATCCATATGCCATGAGTTTAAACATTTAGGTTTAAAGTTAATTAAACTATTCGATTCAATATGCTGAGTTTTTCTTTCTCCAGAACCAGCTCTCCAGAAGGAGGGGGGTCTCAATTTAGAATTCTTGACTGCTGTGAACTCTGCCCGTGAGTCAGTGACGGAAGCACCATGGGCTCCCGTTCGGTCTGCTTCCTTTCCTAGGTCGGCTTCATGTCATTTAGAAAGGGCTTTGAGTATATATTGAGGCGGTATCACTGAGCTGCATATCAAATGGCTATTCATGAGACATTCACTGTGTTCAAGGATATATAACAGCAGCCACCAACATGCTCCTGGAAGGACTGACCTTGCCCAGATGACCCTGCAGCCTAGATATAGGCTCAGAACTGTGGGGGCAAGAGCTCTAGGGTTCCCACAGTGTAGCCTATAACTCAGGTCTGTTCTCCAGGTGGACATGCTCTATTGACTTCAAGCACGCCCCTCGTTGCGGGAGGAAGAGCTTTCTAAAGAGGAATAAAGCAAACCCCTCTAAAAGGGGACAGGACTTAGAGGCCCTTCTTGCTGGGATAGAGAATCATTTTGGAAATGGGACAAGCCCGATTCTCCCTATCTCTCACGTCTCTCAGCCCACCTTTCTTCACACACAACCCAACCAGCCAGGCCACACAGCAAAAGCCTTCATCCGTGTCTTTTGGTCGGTAAGTCATAAATAGTTATCCTTGATCCCACATCTCTTTGATAGAGCTGGACAAAGAGAAGGAAAAATATCCCCCGTCCACACGGGGCTGTTTCCCTTCAGGAATTGCAGGCAGGCTGCCAGGGTTCCACCTCAGGCTCCGTCCTCTGACTTCAAGATGAGGAAGTTCACTGTGGTCAAACCCTCAAACCCAGAATCTCGAGGGGAATTCCAGATCACTCTCTTAGCCACATACGCTGGCCAGCTTCTCGGGATCGTCATGGGGAGACCCAGTTTGTGCCTCAAGATGTGCAGGTGACTTATCTGAAAAGCAGGCTCACGGAGACACTGTCCCTTTAACAAAGGATCCCTTTAAAATATTTAACGATGCAAAAAGGAAACCAAACTTGAATTTTCCTTTCAGGCACCGAGGAAATCGTGTTTCTCTCCTGTCTGAAACTCACCATCTCCTCAGACAAAGAAAGCTCTTATAGTAACAGCGATGGCATTTTCGCTACAATTTTCAAATAAAAGATAAAGGGAAAACAGCATCGCGGCCTTTTTGTTAGCATCTAACAATAAGGGAATGATGTGGCTTGCAGGGGGAGAGCTCTGGTTTGAAGCTGGGAATACGAAAATAGTTAGGCTGACAAATCTCACAAAGAAATCTTCTCAGCGGCCAGGCTGAGGAGGGTGGGAAGCGAAGTGTCAGGAAAGCGATAGCCTTCAGCTATTTGTGTGGTATGATGATGGCCATTTGATGGAGCCAGCCCTGGGTAGAAGGCTTTCTTTCTCTTTCTCTTTCTCTTTCTCTTTCTCTTTCTCTTTCTCTTTCTCTGTCTCTGTCTCTCTTTCTCTTCTCTGTCTCTATCTCTTTCTCTTTCTTTTCTTTCTCTTCCTCTTTCTCTTCCCCTTCTTCTCTCCCTCCCTGCTTTGTCCCCTTCTGTCTGCCTGCCTCTTTCTCCTTTATTTTTTTTTATTTTTCATGAAATCCTCCTGCCTTGACCTTGCAAGTGTTAGGATGACAGCTGTGTTTCCTTGAAGTCCCAAAGCACCTTCCCTGTCCATGCCTGCTCCTCTTCCTAGCCATCAGTTATCAGTCTATCTGTGCTACAATCCAGGGCTGCCATTGGGAAGGCTGTGGGGACCTGTGCTCACACTTACTGTCTCCTCCCACACAGCCTAGCCTCCCTTTGTGAGCTAGCTTTTTCTATAGATACCCCTGAGGACGCTGCCTGCCCCTCAGCAATAGTGTCCTGCCTTCCCTGCTGTGTCTGTCACTTACCTGGATGAGATTATAATTGTTGCTACACTACGTAACTCATCACATTCTCTTTGAGAGCAGAGACCATGGATGTTTTCTTTCAAGTTCAAATCCTCATTGTTATCCCTGTGCCTGCCTTATACTATGTCTAACTGAAAAAAAAAAATGAATGAGTGAATTAATGAAAGGGAACTGAGACAACTATGTTGCTGTTCCCATAGTATTTGAAGTAACTGAAATCAAAGAATAAAAAGAGTCGTATGCTTAATTTACAATATTCTTATTTGAGGGAATAAGACACTTTTTATGGCTTTGGATATATAGTAAGGTTTTTGAGGTGTGAGGTGGGGCGGCGCAGGACAGCAGTTGACAATTAAGAAGGAAAAGGGGCTGGAGAGGTGACTCAGCAGGTCAGAATGCTTCCTGTTTTTGCAGAGGACCCAGGTTCAATACCCAGCACCTACATGGTGACTCACACTGTTTGGAACCCCAGTCTTTGGGAATCTGACACTTCATCTGTCCCTCCTGTACACCAGACACATACTTGGTGCACAGACATATATGTGAGCCAAATACACATACACATACAATATAATAAAATAAATAATCTTTAAAAAGCTTGCAAGAAGCATAAAAGAATATGTATGTATGTTGGCATTTAGAGGTTAAAGTCAAGGGATAGCCTGATGGCTTCATGTGTCTGGAATTCAGATTGCACTTACTTGTTTTGCAATAGCACATGGCTTCTATTTCTTTCTGAATGAGTGTATGCTTGCTTGTGTGTGGAGGTTCATTGAGTGAGTGTCTGTACATGCATGTGTGTGGAGGCTCATGTGCGTGCATGTGTGTGGAGGTTCATGTGTGCATGCATGTGTGTTGAGGCTCATGTGTGCATGCATGTGTTTGGAGGCTCATGTGTGCATGCATGTGTTTGGAGGCTCATTGAGTGAGTGTGCATGCATGTGTGTGGAGGCTCATGTGTGCATGCATGTGTGTGGAGGCTCGTGTGTGCATGCATATGTGTGGAGGTTCATGTGTGCATGCATGTGTTTTGAGGCTCATGTGTGCATGCATGTGTGTGGAGGCTCGTGTGTGCATGCATTGCGTGGAGGCTCGTGTGTGCATGCATTGTGTGGAGGCTCGTGTGTGCATGCATTGCGTGGAGGCTCGTGTGTGCATTCATTGCGTGGAGGCTCGTGCGTGCATGCATTGTGTGGAGGCTCGTGCGTGCATGCATTGTGTGGAGGTTCATGTGCGTGGAGACTCACTGAATGAGAATGTATGCATTCCTGTGTGTGGAGGCCCAAGGTTGATGGTGGGAATCAGCTTTGATCTCACTTGCATCTTATTCTTTGCAGTAGGGCCTCTTGCTTAAATCCAAGGCTTATAGACACAACTAGTCTGGTTGGCATGCTTGCTCTGGAGATGCCTGCCTTTACCTCCTAAGCAGAAAGTACTGGGTAATTCCACCCTGCCAGATGTGGGCTCTGGGGATCCGAACCCTGGGCCTCACACTTGCACAGTGGCTACTTTAATCAGAGTGCTCTCTCTCCTGTCCTGTGGCTTCCATTTCTGATGCCACCTGGACCAAAATGTCCCCAGAGGACAACCATATTTCAGCTTGGAGAAGGCAAGAGCGAGGTGGCACCTCTCTGCTTCTCCACCTCAACTACCCTCGTCTCATCTGAATAATGCTGACTTTATTCAAGGTAGGCACACACCCAGTTGAAAATCTGAATTTGGCTACAGAAAAAAGAGAGATGCTCTTGGTCAATGACATTTTATCAATAGCTGCCTTTGCCCCAGGTACTCATCTGGGCAGTGGTGGCCAGTTGAGAGCTGGAGGGGTCATGGTACTCTTCTATGGGGAAACCCAGGACTTTTCCCAAGAGTTTGCATAACTGACATTTATCTTGTGTCCCCTGTGAAGTATAGAGGAATGTGTTCCCTTGAAGCCACAGTGGCTGCTTAGCAGTCGGAGTTTGTCACCGTGCTTTGAAGGTGCCTGGCAATTCAGGCTGCAGTGAGGTCAGCTTGATTCCAACTGCCCTGTTCAAGCCATCACTGTCCCCTCCCTGCACAAACCTGCCTTGGTTACGGCCACACCCCATGTGCTACCAATCATGGACTAGAGAATCACGACTGCCTTTTCCTAGCAGTATTATTTTGGAGAAGAATGCAAATGGGGATGGTGTTTGACATGCTGTCTTTGCTTTGCTCCTTGATGTTCTCTCTGGACCCTGACAATCAAGTGATGTTTGTGCTAACATGTTGTTTGGTCCCTGTGTTGCAGGCTCCTGTGGCTGTCTTGTCATGATATTGTTTGCCTCTGAAGTGAAAATCCACCGCCTGTCGGAAAACATCGCAAACTTTAAAGAAGGGACCTATGCCTACAAGACGCAAAATGAAAACTATACCACCTCGTTCTGGGTGGTCTTCGTTTGCTTCTTTGTTCACTTTTTGAATGGGCTCCTGATACGGCTTGCTGGATTTCAGTTCCCGTTTGCAAAATCTAAAGACACGGAGACTACCAATGTGGCTGCAGACTTAATGTACTGAAACGTAAATATCTCCATAATTCCTCAATAAGGAATGGACTCGCTTTGGCCATGTTTCAGTATGGTTAACTTCATCGGTGCGTTTAGACTTCTTAAGCACCAAGCCTCTGCACCCTTCAGTTATGTTTACAGGCTATGTAGTAGGGATTCTGGCTAGAAAATAACGGAGGCAGAGGGTGGCTTCGGAAAGGTGCTTTGCCTGGTGGCTAACCGCTTGCACAGTTAGTCCACAGCAGCTGGATAGATGGACAGATGTTTCCTCCATTTACTCACCGAAGGGTGAGATGCATGGCCCACCAAGGAGAACGCCACAGGCTCTCGGAATATCTTTTAATAAAGCAGATGTTATTTCTAGTCTCCACATATTCGTTGTCACAGATCCCGGAAAGCGGAGGTGAAGCTGGTGTCCTAAAGTCATAGTGCCCTGAATCTCTGCAAGGGTTCTTTGTGACGGTTTGTTTAAGGCATGCCATTGCGACTATGACGGTCAAAACTAGAAAACCTTTACAAACAAGCCAGCCAGGATCAAAGGTATCTTCCCTTCTGCATCTGAATGCTTGCAGTAGCCAGCATTGCAGCAGCCACCCAGGCATGGTGGGAAATGCTCCCGACTAGACAGCCTGGTGAAAGCGACCCACCCACTTGAGACAGTTTCCGGCTTCCTGTCTGCAGCACTAATGAACTCCAAATTATGAACAGTGTATAAATTCAGAACCGGGTGGTATTGAGCTGTGCCATGGCAGTCATGAAGCGTGATCCAACTAAATTCTTTCCCCTTGAATTGTCCACCAAATTAATCTGCTGGTGACCAAAGGCCACAGTGAATCTGAAACTGACCCTTCTGTACTCTTAGTGTGCTAGCTAGCCTCAGGAAAGCACCCGGAAAAGAGCAAAGAACAGAGAGGATGTCACTATACTATGCCTTGGCCATGAACACGAGAGCTCACAAAGGGTTTGGAAATGCTCAGGAAAACAAACCTGGAGCTAGGAAGAAGGCTCAGCTGATAGAGTGCTGGCCTCAGGAGCATGAATATCTGAGTTTAGATCCCGGGCGCTCATCTGAGAAGCCTGGTGGCACACATCTGTAATCCCGGCACTGGGAAAGCAGGGATCTGGGAGCTCACCCGTGACCCAGTCAAACCTAGTCAGTGAGTTCCAGGGTCAGTGAGAGACCCAAGAATAAGATGGAGGTGATTGAGACAGACACCCAAGTTGACCTCCAGCCCCATGACACCGCACTACACACACACACACACACACACACACACACACACACCACACACACACACACACTTCATCTTAGTATAATTTACAAGGAAGGAGTTATTGTGCACCTGAGATAACCGCTCTGATAGTGGAGTGTTGTTTACACACAGACATTAGAACACACTCTGCAATTTCAAGATGGAGTCCTTGCACCTTAATTCACCACACCTGAATGTTTCTAGAAGCCCACCAGGTAGTCTGTCCAGGAGCATGCACTTGCTTCACGTACTTGCTTTGGTGATGAGCTAATAATGCCCAGGCCTGGAAGTCATGAGCCGAAATTCTCAGGCTCAAGACTGTGTTAGGAGGGGAAGGGGAGGATGGAGGGGATGCCTCCCCGGAACTCCCATGGCTCTCCTTCCACCTCTTCCTCACTTCTCAGACGCCTGGAAAACTTCCCTGTAGCAGCAAGCTTATATATATATATATATATATATATATATATATATATATATATATATATATATATATATAACAAGCGTTTGCTTGCTCTCTCTCTTCTCTAAAAGGAAAACTAGGGACAGACACTGAAACCTAATGAGAACCTCACAGACAGATTAACCATAGTCCTTCTGCCTAGACAGGAGCAGAAAACAGGCTCTTTAAAGACGTCAAAATGACCATGAAAATCAAGTCACCACACACACACACACAGTCTGCACACTCACAGTTCACACTCTCTCTTTGTCCCTCTTTCAATAGATAAAATGCCTGGGGTTGCCCTGAGGTGGGGCCCTGGTGTGACACTCTTTTGTCTGCTCCTTCATAGGGATCAAAGGCCTTGAAATTGACAGTCATTTTGCTGAGCTCGGCCCCTCTTCCAGTTGGTGGCCAGCATTCTCCTGAAGACTCAGGGCCCCCTGCTGGCCCTGGGCTGGCAAGCACCCCGCCAAGGTTAGGACCCAAGCACTCAAGCGTGGTTACCAGGCACCAAACTATCAAGGCTGTGACGCTGCCTGGAGGGGGTACGTGTCTAGGGAAGAGTCCAGGGGTGTTCCCTCGAGGAAGAGGAGAAAGGTCCCATATGAGTACATTTGTTGCCAGGATTAGTTCTTCCAAACAACTGCTTTTACTGTTTTAATGGGTGAATACCGCTGGAGCTCAGTAACTGAAAATGCAAAGCCACGCTTTAGGACTGCAAGGGGACATCTTGTAACAAAGGACTAATTTCATTCCTAACTGCACACGGAGTTCTTGGCCTTTTTATTATTTCCCATTGCATCATCATTGATTTGGTTTCTTGATTTAGGATTACCGGCTGAGTCACCAAGTCCTACTCTTTCTTCCGTCCCTTCTAACTGCTGGTTTATAGTATTTTTAAGACAGACACCTCTGTGAGTTGCTTTAGTTTTTTGTTTGTTTGTTTGTCTCAGAAAAAGGTGTGATGTACCTTTTATGAATCCAAACCCTGCCACTATACAGCACCTACACAGAGCTAAGGCAACATAGACATAAAAAGTAAGCAGGTGTTCAGATGTATCAACTTGTGACCAGTTCAGAATCCCAGGACCTGTGAGAGGCACTGGGTAATTATTTCTTGAATGACTCTGCCAGTCAGAGTCCTTTCTATTCCAGAGAACCGACTGCTTTTAACAATAGCTAACATTCCCCAAACTGGGTCATCTTCCTACCATCTGACCCTTTCATTTCCCTTGATTTCCAGCTCATTCTGCCCTAACAAGGCCCCAGAATTTCAAAGGGGGAGGGACTATTTTGGAGACTGCATTTCAGCACAGCCAGACCTCCTCCCCAGTGCTGTCGCTGCTTGCAGTGCTAAGGGGAACATGCTGACGCTGGTTCCAGTGAATGAATCAAAGAGCTCCTGAGATACTGGTGGAGCATCAGCTGCATGTCCTACATGGCATGCATGCTCTTCAACCAGCTCCAAAGGTCACAGGGACTGCATTCCTTCTGAAATGCAGATCTTTCCCTCAGGAACTAAATTAAAAATGATAACGTGAGCTTGATCAAATGAAAGTAGAACTAGGTTTATATCCAGATTCTTCCTCGATACCAAAGAAGGAATGGACTTGCTAGCGAGGCAAGAACAAGCGTTTGGGGGTTTTAGTTAGTTCAAGCTATAATAGCCATCGCAAGTTCATCCCTTGTCTGACACATAATCACATCTCCTTATGTCATGATTAATTTCCAAATAAAAAGAATGACCAGGTCATATTTACGTCTACACATGATATAACTATCCCATGGGAAAACTGCAAATATACTACATATTCAACCAGATTATAATTACACCTAATGTGATGCAGCTATTCCTCATTCAACCCCAAATGCACTATGGATTTAGAACAGGAGGGGCGCTCTTTTAGTACCTCAAACTCAAATATGATAACTGTCGGGAGTCTCTTAAGTGATATTACATCATATGGCAAAGAAATCGAGGGGACAAACATCATCTCTGTACAAATGCCTTCTTAACAAAATAGGACATAAACACGTCAGTTACAATCCTTGTTTCTGCAGCTGGTCACGTGGCCTGAGCTTGTATTTATCAATACCTTCCTCTACCACCCGTTCTGTATTTCCTCCACCTCAGCAGTTCTTGGCTCTTTTTCTTGAGGAGTGACCCATAGCTTCATTTCTGAAGAGTCCGTGCCCTTTGTCACCCTGCTTGGATTAGACTGCTATGGTTTCTCATTGACTTTAATCACAGGTTGTGACAGCACCAAGAGATGCCCTAAAGGCTCTATCCCCCGCACTCCAGACATCATCCTTCTTACAGCCGTTGTGGAGACGCAATCCAACCTCCCCACGGTAGTCTGGATCAATCACTCTTTCTAACACGGTTATTCCTTTCTTAGTCTGTTGGTTTAAGAGCATTAGAAGCCCGAAGTGGCCAAGGGGAAGTCTGAACTTCCAGTTCAATGGAATGCTTGTTGTGGCTCCTGGCAGAAAGGCTCCCCACTCTAGAACCAAAACTTCCAGATCAGCAGAATGTAGGGTTATGAAAACAGGAAGCAATTTTTTTTTTAGGTGTCACTAGGGGTGATAATGAGTGGAATTATCTTCTTTTCCACCCCTTGATTCCTGAATCCGCCGATCCTGGCTATGAGAGAAACCATACCATATATTGTTTATATATGTTTAAAGTACATACGACCTTCTGGAGAACCCTGTTCCAGCCCTCCAGGATGTCACCCCCTTATTGGTACTGTAACTGTCTTCAAAAGGTCATTTTGAAGGCCAATTGTTTCAGGATGGTGGGGAACATGGTAACACCAATGGAATCCATGATCATAGGCCCACGGTCGCATTTCTCTGGCTGTGAAGTGACTTCCTTGACCAGAAGCAATAAACATCGCCTGCTTTCTTGGCTTTATCTGAGTGCCCATCTCATCTTTCTGCAATTTTTAAAATGGCTACTTTGAACTCAGAAGTTTCAGTGTGAGACATTTGGGGGCTTTCCAAATCTTTTCACTGCCCAGAGAGTCCAAAGTTCTCATTCTGTGCGGTGCATACACTTCCGGATGGAGATCCTGCTGATGACTCCCTTCAGTTGAGGCACGGCTGAGGTGGAGACCCGTTCCACAAGGCTGCATTTCCAGCCTCTCTGGACACTAGGAGCAACACACCCTGTGCAAATCCCACGTCATGCTCTTAAGGTGCATACCCGTCCCCCCTTTCCCTTTGCTCCGGAATGCAGAGCTAACAGCAGGAGACAAGCTGGGATTGTTCGTGGAAATTCTAGACATCCTATACTTTATTCATAAATATCTT